TTAACAACTTTGCAACTACTTAGCATATTAGCAAACCCTTCCCCTAACCTTAACCCTTTAACCTAACTCTTACCTCTAACCTTAACCCTAACCTTAACCCCTAACCATAAACCCTAGCCTAGCTAACGTTAGCCACCTAGCCACCTAGCTAACATTAACCACAACAAAATGGAATTCGTAACATATCATATGTTTAGAAAATGCATAACATACTGTACGAATTGCAATTCTAACATTTTGTACAAATTGCAATTCATAACAAATTGTACAAATTTAAATTCGTAATGAATCATATGAATTATAATTCGTAACATATCATACGAAATGGATGATAAACATCCACAAATTAATACTAACCACACAAAACATAACATATCATACTAATTATTTAGAGTCTAAGACATTGTGGGAGGGGGGGTGCTAAGCTGACATATGGAATTATTTTAATATGGTCATACTATGGATCATTTAACTATTTGATTTGGAATTTTAGGACCACTTTAGGTATCCCCCCAAAATAAAAATAAAATATTTGATAAAATATTGATTTTGGCCTTTACTAATAAAACCCATAGAAACGCATTGAATAACACATTCATAAATGTAAAAAGGGACAGTCAAAAAATAAATAATATAACCAGGTTTTGAAGTGTCTGTCCTTGTCACGATCGTTTGATGACTCGTGGAACCAAGGCGCATTATGATAAGCGTACATTTTATTTAATGAACTGAACACACAACAAAAACAACAAACGATACGTGAAGTCCTGAGGTTACACAACACAAACCTTTACGGAACAAGATCCCACAATAAACTGGTGCCAACAAGCTGCCTAAGTATGGTCCCCAATCAGAGACAACGAGCTACAGCTGCCTCTGATTGGGAACCACCCTGGCCAACATAGATCTAAACGATCTAGAACAAAAACATAGAAAACTAAACATAGAACCTACACACCCTGGCTCAACATTTAAGAGTCCCCAGAGCCAGGGTGTGACAGTCCTTTTGTGTCTGTCCTTTTATATACACTACCAGTCAAAAGTTTGGACACACCTACTCATTCAAGAGTTTTTCTTTATTTTTACTATGTTGTACATTGTAGAATAATAGTGAAGACATCAAAACAATGAAATAACACATATGGAATCATGTAGTAACCAAACAAGTGTTAAACAAATCAAAATATATTTAATTTTTGAGATTCTTCAAATAGCCACCCTTTGCCTTGATGACAGCTTTGCACACTCTTGGCATTGAGATCTTGCATGGAGCCCCAGACCAAGGGTGATTGACCGTCATCTTGAACTTCTTCCATTTTCTAATAATTGCGCCAACAGTTGTTGCCTTCTCACCAAGCTGCTTGCCTATTGTGCTGTAGCCCATCCCAGCCTTGTGCAGGTCTACAATTTTGTCCCTGATGTCCTTACACAGCTCTCTGGTCTTGGCCATTGTGGAGAGGTTGGAGTGTGTTTGATTGAGTGTGTGGACAGTTGTCTTTTATACAGGTAACGAGTTCAAACAGGTGCAGTTAATACAGGTAATGCGTGGAGAAAAGGAGGGCTTCTTAAAGAAAAACTAACAGGTCTGTGAGAGCCGGAATTCTTACTGGTTGGTAGGTGATCAAATACTTATGTCATGCAATAAAATGCAAATTAATTACTTAAAAATCATACAATGTGATTTTCTGGATTTTTGTTTTAGATTCCATCTCTCACAGTTGAAGTGTACCTATGATAAAAAATTACAGACCTCTACATGCTTTGTAAGTAGGAAAACCTGCAAAATCGGCAGTGTATCAAATACTTGTTCTCCCCACTGTATGTATGCTACACACCATCCCTACCTTACACAGACACATAACCATTGTGTGTACTTGGACTTTGCCATCCCCATTAAATATTTTATAGAAACATGTAAGGACTGCTAAAACAAAATATGCGTTTTTGAAAACAGTGAAACAGTTTTAAACCACTTCATGACCATTTTTCTCTATTCAAGGCTGAGAACAGTAGCTCAGAGAGCGAGCCTCTAATACAAATGGCAAGGACATGCACATTGTCCCATTAGTCAATGTAAGGTGATGTGTACAATAATGTGTCTTACCAGTTTTCGGATCAACAGAGAAATATGGTTGTCCTTGGAGAACACTGTAGACAACTCGGGCACTATTCCCATATGTGGGGTCATCGGCGTCCGTAGCAGTAACTTGATATACCGAAGTACCTGGAAAGAAGAAAAATAATCAAAATTAGGCTTCAAAATTGTTTCGGATACTTTTGTTTTCATGAGTGTATATGTGTCCCCTCATCGTATGCCTTTTTAAAAAATTGATGGTATTAAGGAAATGAATATGTTTGAAATACAATATGTAGCATTATTTATAAACACAGAGAATGGTTACCTTTGGGATTTGTTTATTGATCAAAACCTCAGAGAAATGTAGCTTTTTGTGCAATGTAATCTAAACACAAAGTCATTTTTATTATCAATTGAGTCAAATGCAATCTTTTTAATCACTACCTAGTAGTACATAGTACCGAGTAGTAAACATGACAAATAATTTGTATTTTAATGCAAATCTAAGAAAAATGATCTTCCGCTTTAAGGAATACAATGTAAACAAAATGTAGAGCTTATCAACATGTAGGCTATGATAGGAAGTGTGAGGTATTTATTTCCAAAACAAACTAATTATTATTACACCTATATAAAATGGGTATTTGCATTCAGAAGTTTCAAGTTGTTAAATAAAATATGTTTCCATTAATACTAGCCTACTACAGTACAGTAACTTGCCAACAGAAGGACTATAATAGCTTTTGTGATCCATGTTTTTTCTCTGGTAGTTCAGCCCAGATGGTGGATGATTTTCTCCTCTTACAACCCTGGTCACATATCTCATCTTATTGTTACCCCTGGCTCGTCCCTGCTTACTTTTATTACCTCCCATTAGTTTCAATCCATCTACACTATCTACTGTTGACTTATTGCAGGGACCACAATACATTTAATGCAGTTTTGAGAGCTCAAGTTGGCCGTCTTAAATGGGATTACAACAGACCAGGGTCTTTTTTATTCCTTTTCAGTGAAAATCGGAAGATCAACCCCACACAGCAAAAAGAGACTGTCTGTCCTCACTCTGTCAATTCAGTATTACTACCACATATTTTGTTTCTCAAAGTTTCCCCAAACTCTTCTTTAATGGATGGCAATGTTTGTTTTGGAAACAATTCCGGTTCATGGGGTAGTTTATCGACTGAGTACAGAGTACTTTGAATCTGCCTAGCAGAATACACAACAAGCATTTTACAATTGTATGACTAGAAATTGAATGATGTTTCAGACAACCACCAGTTTGTTTTTGTAGATTACAACATAATATCAAACGTGGTGTGGCAAACTGATCTATATTTGCCTCACCTTAAAACGATTCTATAGCTCGTTGTTGTCCAAAACTGAAATAAGCGTATTATCAAAGTTTTACGAGAGCAGTAAGTGCTGAGGCAATGCTTCCTGAGACAGTCATCAGTCTGAAAGCTTCAGGAAGCATTGCCTCAGCACTTACTGCTCTCGTAAAACTTTGATAATACGCTTATTTCAGTTTTGGACAACAACGGGCTATAGAATCGTTATCCTAGTGCAACAGACAGGTAAAAATTGACATTTTAATACCCTTGTAAAACAACATCTAACATTTTTTTTTTCATCAGTGGAGGTTCCTCAGTGAATTTCATAAAAATACAAATTGTAAAACATTTAAAAAGTTATCATTTTTAGATACAACTATACTAAATATAGTCACATCACCAAATAATTGTCCAAAACACACTGTTTTGCAATCAAGGTCTACTGTAGTCTCAACAGCACTCTGTAGGGAAGCACCATAGTGTAGCCGGAGGACAGCTAGCTTCCATCTTCCTCTGGGTACATTTACTTCAATACAAAACGTAGGAGGCTCATGGTTCTCACCCTCTTCCATAGACTTACACAGTAATTATGACAACTTCTGGAGGACGTCCTCCAACCTATCAGAGCTCTTGCAGCATAAATTGACATGTTGTCCACCCAATCAAAGGTTCAGAGAATGAATCTAGTACTGAAAGCATAAGCTACAGCTAGCTACCACTGCAGTGCATAAAATGTGGTGAGTAGTTGACTCAAAGAGAGAGAAAGACAATAGTTGAACAGTTTTGAACAAATTAATTTATTCAAGAATGAAGGAGAAGCAAGAGAGAGATAGAGAGATTGTCATTTTTTTCACATTCAGTTTCACTTACTTAGCTAGCAAATGCAGCTAGCTAGTTTAGCCTACTCAAACACCCTGCTCAAACAGAGGGATGCTATGTTAACTAGCTGGCTATGACTATCCAACACAACACTGGAACTCTTCCAAGTCAAGGTTAGCTTTTGATTTTACTAATGTATTGTCACCGGGGCCCGCCAGTGTAAGTGCTAAACTGCTTACTGACTGTACACTGTAATGTTACTACATGATTGTAGTGGGTTTACTAACTCGTCAGTTCTATTAGCTATGTTGAATATGATGTTACTTTAGCTAATATGGTGACAACGATGTAGGCTGTGTGTAGCGGTTATGATATGGTTTGGCTTGGAAAGGTTTTTTCGCCTGGTCACATACAGCTGATGTGTTGTGCATTGGAGTCCACAAGCTAAGGGAAAAGGTGAGTGGAATATGAATGACAGTCATCCAATATGCTGTAATAGAAATAAGGCCATGCTCATGAAAATAAACGGCACCGACCGCCACTGGTTTTCATGTAATATGGATTGTTGAAATGTAAAACCACTGCATCGTACACAAAATTACTTTCTCCTTGCCAGGTCCTGTTTGGTAGCATTGATCTGTATTTTATGACAGGTGACAGCACATATAGGGATCCCCATTTCTCACTTGGCAAGGGTTTAGATTAAGGAATGGGTAGAGTATTAAAATGTGTGTTCCATCTTTTATATTGGGGCCTTGAATTCAATTTAACATCTAAACGTTCTAGAACAGAACAAATATAATGTAATAATTACTACCAATGATTGTCACAGTTCCATATTTATTGGATGAAAACACCCTCAGATTTTACATCTATTTAACAACAAGATTCCAGCCAGCTGTGCATAGACAGATACGAAAGAGAGAGAGAGAGAGAGAGAGAGAGAGAGAGAGAGAGACAGAGAGAGACACAGAGAGAGAGAGAGAGAAATGCACACCTCCTGATGTCCATTTAAAAATGTTCAAGCAGGAGTGTCTATCAGAGACCAAAATCGAGTAGACAAGTAGAAAATGTATTCATTCCCCTTCCATCTGATTCTCAAAAATGTGATTTCTGCAGTTCAATTCTGAGAAGTGAAATGGTAACATTGGAATACCCTGGCACGTGCCCAGCTAATCAATTTAGACAGGAAAAAAGGAACATCACAGGCAATTAGCCGCCACACTTCCAGACAGCCCCTTCCTGGGCTGGAGAGCATTAGTATTGACAAACGCAGGAGGATTAGTACCGTGGAGTGTGAGGACAGTTGATTGTTACAGCCGATTTGACACTAGCAGGCGGAAGATGAATGGCTTTAATGGACACAAGCAAAAGGAGGGGGCGGGAGGGTGCGAAAAATGGTTATTATTTTCCCCTTTGTGGTCCTTGATTCTTCCCCTCGGATCATCAATGTTGATTGAATCTACATGTTGTATGGATTAGCTACCTGGCCGGTTGGCGTTGTTGAAGTTTTTCCAGGAAACAACAGAAACTTTTCAGACCAGTGGATTTTCCTCAAAAGAGTCAAATAATAAAACATCTAAGCAACACAATACATGCAACACGGAAGCTCTTAAACCAGTAGCCAATTAAATTAACATGGCGGTTTGTTAACCCATCAGAGTCTAAGCCCTGTCTGGTTTTCAACTGGTACCGGGGGACCTTCAGACGAGTCTTGTGAGGTCTGTGGGCATCCTAGAGCAAAACAACTGACATGTACATGTTCGCGAGAGTCTCACCTTTGCACATAGGGGTCATAATAGCATCATGTAGCCCAAACGGTTCGGACGCTACAGACAGAAGTTGGCAGATCGGCTGGACCGACTTCAGACGAGTCGCCTGATAGTGTAGAGGTCGTAGAGCAACACGGAGAACACCATCATGTTCGTGAGAGTCTCATCTTTCCATAGATGAGACTTTAGGCCAAACCATTCGAACGCTACAGACAATTTCTAGCAAATGCGGAAATGCGACAAAGGCGGATGCTGTGGATTGAGACGCATGCAATGCAAAACAACGGATATCTCTAGCTTAAACGGACTGATTTTTATGGAATTTTTATTTATTATGCAAATTCAATTCCAGCGGGGGCACCGACATTGACCTTAGGGGGTTTTAATGAGCCAGCAAAACATTCATCCAATACTTAGCTAGTGACATGCCAATTTCTACAGCAACTACATCAAACATTCCTGTCAGCTTTTATCGTCTAGCAAACATTTCCATTGAGGTTACTAAACTACTATTGTCCAGTGTGTAACAGGGCCTCATAGAGGATTAAAACATGCATGCAGGGGCTTTGTAGACAGATTTTTACCGTCACAGCTCTAAGGCATGCATGTTTGCTCATAAAAATGCAAGAAGGCATCAAGGGGCATATTGACTGTTTATGTAAAAGGCCCTTACAAGTCTCCTGGGGTTTACTGAGGTTAATATATTTTGGACAGTCCCCAGGTCTACACTGAGCAAACTGGCAAAGCTGTTCAAGTCCATTGCAACGCAACGAAGACAGCGGCCCTATTCGCTAGACCACCCCAGGCCACCACTTTGTCATTTTTCAAAACACCTAAGAAGCTCAAAAAGATTAACCAATGGGGGAATTTGGACATGTGGACAGAGAGGAGGAAACTGGTTCAAAGAACACAAAAAGTGGCATTGATAGATCAATCATTGAAAATGACACCAACTTTCACAAATCTATCCAAGAGTCCAAAAACATGATTATCAGCACAATTTTTTTTGTTGAGCCATTTGGTTTCCAGGCAGGGAGAAATTAATTGGACTGAGAAAACCACCGCTTTTGTTTGTCACAAGCTAAAAACTGAACGGTATAATTAAAAAAGACTAACAAAGATGCTGCCACAAGATGCTGGGCATATCAGGAGCAAGTCCTCAGAGGAGGCGAGTGGAGGCTTTCTCTCCTTGATGTGGAGGCTTCCAGAGGCTTGCAGTCTCGGCAGTCAGAGAGAGGGATGGAGGGAGAGATGACGGGGAGCACTATTGAGTGCTTCATAAAGACCTTCCCTTCCCCATCCAGGGGAACCGTCAGAGAGAGAGAGTAAGAGCGAGAGTTGGAAAATATAAACAAAAAAGAGAAAGAGGAAGGAGGGAAGACTCCACTGGCATGTGAAAATATGAAAATGGAAATGAAACAAGATGAACCAACTGAGAGGAAAGGGAAGGTATAACACAGAGCATTTTGCAGGTTTTTATAATCCTGTTGTTGTACATGAATACATACGTGCCAGACGTTTAAGATTCTGTTGAATTCTGAATAAAACATAAATAGTTTAAATAATAACAAGTTGTGAATTTAAACTTAATTCTTAGATATGTTATGGGTAAAATACATTCCTAGATAAAGGATACACACCTATAAAGCCAAAATGGCCGCCAACTCTTATCTAGTAAATACAAATTCAAGTAAACTTATTGGAAGCAGGTAACAAATTACTGGGCTGTCCTTACCCACTCCAGACATCTCAGGCACAGCAGCTACAAAAGGACCATCTGGAAATTTGGGGGCGTTATCATTGATGTCCTGGACTTTGATTATGAATTCTGACTTCGGTTCCAGGGGCTTTTCAGTGTTGCGGTCAAAGGCTTGTGCGTGGAGGACGTAGTGTGCTTTCCTCTCCCGGTCCAGGCTCTCCGTTGCATGAATATCTCCAGTCACCTCGTTGATGATGAATATACTCCCAGCGCCTTCCCCGCTCAGAATGTACCTTACGGAGCCGTCCCCTTTGTCTGAGTTGGAATGAAGCTGTAAGAGAAACCAGAGACAAAATATCAGAGCTCTACTTTAAATGTATTGCATAACCAGCATTATTGTATAAGTTACCCTCTAAAGTTATAGCAAGTTTAAAACTGAAATATTGAATAAGTGCTAAATCTCAGTCCAAAATATTAGAAAATGTGGAGATATTCTGTAGAGAAGCATAGGAAGCATAGTCTATTAGTTGTAAGTAGGCTGCTGGTATGCTAACACATAGACAAACCTGCGAGTCTTCAATGTAACATATTCCAAATGTCATATTCAAAGCTTTAGCCTGGGATTTATAAACGTGAAGCATCTAAAACTGCAGCCTTTTTTGAGATTCAAGTTTTTGGGGTTAGTGAAATCCTTATAAACTCTTTAAAGACGAAAGCACTTGAAGGAATCGTAAATAATGATGAGTGAGAAAGTTACAGAAACAACAAATATCATACCCCCAAGACCTCTCACCATTGCAATAACATGGGAGGTTAGCATTTATTTTTGGGGGGTATGATATTTGTGCGTCTGTAACTTTCTCACTCATCATTATTAACGATTCATTCAAGATTATCCATAATCACAGTAGCATCCACATTAATGTATAAGTGTTTAGAAACATATTATATCCTTATTTACAATAAAAGTGACTCCAAAATACAATGTTTACCATTAATTTCTATTGGGCACAAAATAATCTGAAACACAACCAAAACCAACAGCAAATGCATCCAACAAATGTGTAGAGTCACAAGCTTGATGTAGTCATTGCGTGCTATGGAAATAGAGCAAATACTTAACTTGTTACTACTTTAACAAACACAAGTGAATTTGTCCCCAATACGTTTGGTCCCCTAAAATGGGGGGACTATGTACAAAAAGTGTTGTAATTTCTAAATCCAAAGTGCTGGAGTACAGAGCCAAAACCACAAAATAAATGTTCACTGTCCCAATACTTTTGGAGCTCACTGTATATACCCAATGAAGGCAAAGAACCTTGAGGGTTCTATCCCTATACCCCAGAGTGTAATGGGGATTTTAAAAAACAACAGCTAAAAAAATAAATAATGTCACATCAAACTTTGAAATTCCTTTTTAATTTGTTTCAGCTGTTTTGCATTGACATTTATATCCATATTAATGATGCTGCTGCATAATTTCTCCTGGTTAGAAAAATGGCAGGTGACGTCCGACACAGTTAGCTACAGACCCAGCTTGACATTGGCAATTAGCTGATTGTTACTTTTATTTCAGTATTTCAGTGTGGAGTCAATTGAGGGGACTGTTTCATGAAGCCATTAGAAGACTATTGCTGACTGAGAGGGTATAATGCATCAATTATTTATAATAAATTATGTATAATAAGTCTTGGTGATTCAATAGCCTAGTTAATCATTACATGACTTTTAACACACTATCTATGTTTTGCTCAGTCTGGCAGTAACCCAGAACTATCAGAGGCAGAGGATCTTTCTTTCGGCTGCTGCTGACAACAACTGCATGTAAGTTGTTCTTCTACATCATAATAATAAAAATGATATGTCTGCATAGCATTTTGTCTTCATTTTGCTTATTTCTGAATATTATTTCATGTTTGGCCGGTTCGAATCCTGGGCGGGCCTGGAAAAAACAGGCAGAATTGATCTGACAACTGGGTTCACATCCTCAAAATATTCCCCTACTGTTGGGCCCTTGAGCAATGCCCTTAACCCTACAACATTCTCTCCATCCAGGGGCGCTGCACTGCAGCTTGAACCTGTGCTCGTTTCAACTGTATGTGTGAGGTCTGCTGTTTGGGGGGGGGGGGGGGGGGGGTTGAGAACAGGGCAGAAGACAAACTTTTGTTGTTCGCTGTAACTAATGGACAAAGTTGTATTGTATTGCATTGTATTTTATTTTATTGTCTGGTATTTTATTTTAAAGAAGTCAGGCAGAGTTGACGTGAGCCATCATTCACCAAAGAGATGCCTCCCTGGCCATCAGTGCCTATTTCCCAACTATCTTTGCATATAATGACAATACATTTAAAACAAATCTGATATTCTTTTGTCCATTATTTAATAGTTTATTAATTTATATTCTTAGCAAAAAAGATTAGTAGTAGTCATAATTCATAAATGGCACCATGCAGGGTTCTATTTGGAACCACTCTGGTTCAGTAAAGTAGAACCTCTAAGGTTCTGAAAAATAACTGTCACGCCCTGGCTCTGGGGACACTTGTATGTTGAGCCAGGGTGTGAGTTTCCTTTGGGTATTCTAGTTTTTTGTATATCTATGTTGGCCAGGGTGGCTCCCAATCAGAGACGGCTGTAGCTCGTTGTCTCTGATTGGGAGTCATACTTAGGTAGCCGTTAGGCATTCATTCATTGTGGTTTCTTGTTCCGTGTTGGTTTGTGTATGTAACCAGGGACGTCACGTTTTCGTTTTGTTGTTTTGTTCGTGTGTTCATTCAAATTAAATAAAATGTTCGCATTCCACGCTGCGCCTTGGTCCTCCTCTATTAACGACGATCGTGACAGAAGAAACCACCAAGATTGGACCAAGCAGCGTGTCCAGGAGCCATCGCCAGGGACATCTCTAGCAGATCTCCTTCGCCTCCTCGACTGGGTCAAGCCGGGTGAGGAAGAGAAGGGCTTGACATGGAAGCAGAAGGGCGAAAGGCTGGCGAGGGACATGGAGACCTGGTCCACGGGTAGGAGAGACGCCCAGAAAACTTTTAGGGGGGGGGGCTAACGCCGTGGACGACGGGCCAGCAGGAGACCGCGGCAGAGCGGCCCAGCGGGTTGGCAGAGGAGGCCGCCAGGTTACGGGGGCCACTGGTCGAAGAGGGGATGGAAGGTGTAGAGGCACGGCGAGAGGTACTGGGGTGTATTACCAGTCCGGTCTGGCCCATTCCAGATCCCTGTGTAGGACCAGTGGTGTGTGTCCCCAGTACGGTCCGGCCTGTTCCTGCTCCCCGCACCAGGCCAATGGTGCGCATCGTCAGCCCGGCTCGGCCCGTTCCTGCTCCCCGCACCAAGTCAGTGGTGCGCTTCGTCAGCCCGGCTCGGCCCGTTCCTGCTCCCCGCACCAAGTCAGTGGTGCGCTTCGTCAGCCCAGCTCGGTCCGTTCCTGCTCCCCGCACCAAGTCAGTGGTGCGCTTCGTCAGCCCGGTCCAGCCCGCTCCTGCTCCCCGCACCAAGTCAGTGGTGCGCTTCGTCAGCCCGGCTCGGCCCGTTCCTGCTCCCCGCACCAAGTCAGTGGTGCGCTTCGTCAGCCCGGTCCGGCCCGTTCCTGCTCCCCGCACCAAGTCAGTGGTGCGCTTCGTCAGCCCGGTCCGGCCCGCTCCTGCTCCCCGCACCAAGTCAGGGGTGCGTTTCGTCAGCCCGGCTCGGCCCGTTCCTGCTCCCCACACCAAGCCAGTGGTGTGCGTCGTCAGTCCGGCACAGCCCGTGCCTGTTCCACTGGTGCCTGGTTCAGCACCGGTCAGCTGCTTCACGCCGGACCAGGGGTACTTTGGGGGGTTGGAGAGGGAGTGGGGATCAGGCCCGGAGCCGGATCCGCCGCCAAGGTGGAGTGCCCACTCGGTCCCTCCCCTGTGGTGTTTGGTTGGCGCGGCCGGAGTCCGCGCCTTTAGGGGGGGGTACTGTCACGCCCTGGCTCTGGGGACACTTGTATGTTGAGCCAGGGTGTGAGTTTCCTTTGGGTATTCTAGTTTTTTGTATATCTATGTTGGCCAGGATGGCTCCCAATCAGAGACGGCTGTAGCTCGTTGTCTCTGATTGGGAGTCATACTTAGGTAGCCGTTAGGCATTCATTCATTGTGGTTTCTTGTTCCGTGTTGGTTCGTGTATGTAACCAGGGACGTCACGTTTTCGTTTTGTTGTTTTGTTCGTGTGTTCATTCAAATTAAATAAAATGTTTGCATTCCACGCTGCGCCTTGGTCCTCCTCTATTAACGACGATCGTGACAATAACCCCTACAAGGATTCTATATAGACGTTTTAGGGGTTCCATATATGAAGCAAGGAATTTATGTTCTATAAGGAACTTTTTTTTCTAAGAGTGTGCTTTACCAAATCAGGGCACTATAACTGTACAACAAACACATGACAAAGAACATTGCATTTAAAGAACATATACAGTACAAAGTGAAAGGTAACACAGTGTAATTTATACAGTGATCTAACAAAACCAGAAGAGTTCAATCATTATTTATATTCTCATCTTCTACATGAATTAACATGTCAAACGTCAAGGGGCTAGCCACATTAACAGGTTATTTTGACTTCACAGAAATAATGCTTCATACTAGCAGCACCATTTTCATATTGCATCGCAGATGTATCTACCCAACCATCATTGAGCATAGGTAGCCAGTGATGTAGTGTTAAAAAAATGTGGGTAAACGCTGATCGCCATTCCCGGTAAATAAAGTAACGCTCCCTACATTTTCAATGCATTTTTCCAAGGTGGGTAAACACTCGTGCAAAAGATAAAAGGTAAATGAATGTAAATGTTATTTACCTGCATTTACCCTCCACTGAAGGTAGCCATTATGAAACATATCAGGTAGCCATTTTGAAGCATGAGGTACCTATTATTGAGCATACAGTATGAGGTAGCCATTATTGATGAGGTAGACTCCCTGTGAGTGAGCATGTGAGGTAGACTCCCAGAGAGTGACAGACAGACAGCTCTGCAGTAAGGCAGCAAGCCTTGTTGGCTGTGATACTTTGTGATATAATGTACTGACAAAGAACTTCAGTAGTCCTGCAGGACAGCTAGCCTGGTTGCCGTCTCTGTTCAGCTATTACATTCCACTCCTTGTCAATGTTAGCTAAAAATACTGCTACCCAGACTACAGGACAGCACCCCAGGGGTGTTTTGGAGTCACGGTCCAGTTGTCAGCCGATTTGCATTGGCATTAACAGGGTATTGAATTCCAATCAAAATTATCATCTCAATTAAACAAATACAAAACAGCAGGGGACATTTAAAAAATGGACTCCCCCCCCTCCTGTTCCCTTCTGTATTAGACAACATTAAGTTGAACAGTGCGAAAAGGTGCCAGGGCCAAATCTAATCAAAACTGTACCTTGCAAATGAATCCCTTCTTAAAAAGGTGCTGGCTGATTGCAAGGCTTACCTCTTGATTTGAGCAAACGGTCCTTTTCTCTGGTAAACCTCAAAGCCTGTAATTAGGTAGGGAGTCAAAGTTCCCAATTCCCATTGAGTTTGTACTCTCCTAATCAGGAATCAGGATTAAGGTAATGACAACCCATCAACCATACAAAGCACACAATAAAATGTGCTGTTTACACTTCCCATGGGTGTTGGAGAATGCTGGAAAGAACCTGTCTCAATCAATATTGAGATACCAGACTATTATTATATGGTTTAAATGTGCATTATACATGTGAGTGGTATGATCAGCATCAGGATGTGTAGTGTCCCCTGTGGCTCAGTTGGTAGAGCATGGCGCTTGCAATGCCAGGGTTGTGGGTTCGTTTCCCACGGGGGGCCAGTATGAAAAATGTATGCACTCTCTAACTTTAAGTCGCTCTGTATAAGAGCGTCTGCTAAATGACAAAAATGTAGTGTAGCTATGTCAGGAAGTGGGGAGAAAGTAAACAACTCCTCACTATGGGAGATGGAACCACTTACATGTCCAAAGGAGGCCCTTCACAAACACAATCGTTTAGCCCGCAGTCAGAGTGCTAATTTAACCATTGACTTCTTGGTTTAGCAAGAGCTAATATATCACAGTCGCTAAAGTGTGTGAACCACTATGATGCATATGGTGACCGGTCCTTTTCTAATGCCAGGAGATAAAAGTGACAACAGTCTGCGGGTCCTTACACTGACATCAAACACTGTAGGGGAAGACAGTGTTCGTCTGTTAGGTCACATGGGCACAATAAGACTGACACAGAAGTCATAACACCACATCAGATGGGCAATACCGAGGCTGAACCTGTAAGGTAGACCAATCTATGTTGTTAGAGACAGCATATTTTGGGGCTATGGCTACAACTTTATGTGGAGTGTACTTCTGATACTTGTAATGCATTATATTCCAGTAGTCAGGAACAGCCAGAGTGACATAGAAGTCATAACATAAAATGAAATGGCCAATACTGAAACTAACTAGACTAAACCTACCAGGAAGACCACTTCTGTTACAGACATAATTATTTGCTATGGCTGCACCGCCATGCAGAGAGGGCCTTCTAATGCATTAGATTCCAGTGCAGTCAGGGATCATTTATTTATCGTTCATTAAAGATATTCACTCAGAAATGTTCATGACTCTCCGCCATTTGTAATTTGAGTCGATTTTGTCAAGACATGAAACGGGCCTGCCGATAAGAGCCAAGCTGAACATACATCATCAAATAAAATAAAATTGTATTTGTCACATGCGCCGAATACAACAGGTGTAGACCTTACAGTGAAATGCCCTTACAAGCCCTTAACCAACAATGCAGTTTTAAGAAAAATAAGTGTTAAGTAAAAAATTGATGAGTAAAAAAATTATAATAGAAAAATAATAATAATAATAATAATAATAATAATAATAATTAAAGAGCAGCAGTAAAATAACAGTAGCGAGGCTATGTACAGGGGGTACCGGTACAGAGTAAATGTGCAGGGGCACAGGTTAGTCGAGGTAATCTACATGTAGGTAGAGTTAAAGTGACAATGCAAATAGTTTGGGTAGCCATTTGATTAGCTGTTCAGGAGTCTTGTGGCTTAGGGGTAGAAGCTGTTAAGTAGCATAGTTTAGTTTGATAAAATCAATTTTTATTTTCAAATGTAGGTACTGGGTTCTACAGTTTGAACACCTGCTGTCTCTGGCTCCAAACCCACCCTGCCCGGCCATCTAGATGTCTGAAAGTTAGTGCATAAGCTAATGATCCATCATGTATGACATTCCTGGGAGTGTGTAAACTTACATGTTGTATTACCATATCTGTTCTCTATAGTTATGTACTTGAAAATGTATCAATTGACCAATATGGCACATTTGGGCAGGCTTGATACAAAATAGTCCAGTATTGCAATACTTTGCTGGATCAATCTGAAACTTTGCACACACACTGCTAAAAATCTAAATTGCGCCTCTTTGCACACACACTGCTAAAAATCTAAATTGCGCCTAAACTGCAATATTATATTGTGGCCTTTCGCTTACATTTCAAAGATGATAATAAAAAAATACAATAAAATAAAAACGCATGTTTTTTGGTTTGTATTATAATTTACCAGATCTAATGTGTTGTATTCTCCTACATTAATTTCACATTTCCACAAACTTCAAAGTGTTTCCTTTCAAATGGTATCAAGAATATGCATATCCTTGCTTCAGGTCCTGAGCTACAGGCAGTTAGATTTGGGTATGTCATTTTAGGCGAAAATTGAAAAAAAGGGTCTGATCCTTAAGAGGTTAAAGTTCTTACTCACATCAGCTACAGAGAGAGTGATCACACATTCGTCCATAACAGCTGATGCTCTCATGCATGCTTCAGTGTTGCTTGCCTCGAAGCGAGCATAGAAGTAATTTAGCTCGTCTGGTAGGCTCGTGTCACTGGGCAGCTCGCAGCTGTGCTTCCTTTTGTAGTCTGAAATAGTTTGCAGGCCCTGCCACATCCGACAAGTGTCGGAGCCGGTGTAGTACGATTCAATCTTAGTATTGACACTTTGCCTGTTTGATGGTTCGTCGGAGGGCATAGCGGGATTTCTTATAAGCATCCGGGTTAGAGTCCCTCTCCTTGAAAGCGGCAGCTCTACCCTTTAGCTCAGTGCGGATGTTGCCTGTAATCCATGGTTTCTGTTTGGGGTATGTACGTTCAGTCACTGTGGGGACGACATTATCAATGCACTTATTGACTGATGTGGTGTACTCCTCAATGTCATCGGAAGAAACATATTCCAGTCTGTGCTAGCAAAACAGTCCTGTAGCTTAGCATCTGCGTCATCTGACCACTTCTTTATTGACCGAGTCACTGGTGTTTCCTGCTTTAGTTTTTGCTTGTAAGCAGGAATCAGGAGGATAGAATTATGGCCAGACCTGCCAAATGGAGGGCGAGGGAGAGCCTTGTATGTGTCTCCGTGTGCGGAGCAAAGGGGATCCAGAGCCTTCCCTCCTCTAGCCGCACATCTAACATTCTGGTAGAAATGAGGTCAAACGGATGTAAGTTTCCCTACATCAAAGTCACCAGGAGCACCGCCTCCAGACAAGCGTTTTCCTGTTTGCTTATGGCCTTTTACAGCTCATTGAGTGTGGTCTTAGTGCCAGCATCAGTTTGTTGTGGTAAATAGACAGCTACGAAAAATATAGATGAAAACTCTCTTGGAAAATAGTGTGGTCTACAGCTTATCATGAGATAATCTACCTCAGGCGAGCAAAACCTAGAGACTTCCTTAATATTAGATTTCGTGCACCAGCTGTTGTTTACAAATATACACAGACCACCACCCATTGTCTTACCGGAGGCAGCTGTTCTATCTTGCCGATGCAGCGTAAACCCAACCAGCTGTATGTTATCCATGTTGTCGTTCAGCCACGACTCGGTGAAACATAAGATATTACAGTTTTTAATGTTCCTTTGGAAAGATATTCGTGATCTTAACTCATCTATTTTGTTTTCCAATGATTGTACGTTGGCTAACAGGACTGATGGTAGAGGCAGATGACCCACTCGCCGCCGGATCCTTACAAGGCACCCTGACCTACGTCCCCGATATCTCCGTCTCTTTCTCCACTGCGAATGACGGGGATTTGGATCTTGTCGAGTGTCTGAAGTAAATCCTTCACGCCCGACACGTTAAAAAAAGCACGAGGTGAGTAATCGCTGTCCTGATATCCAGAAGCTATTTTCGGTCATAAGAGACAGTGGCAGAAACATTATGTACAAAATCAGTTACGCCATTATCTGCCTGTGTATGTCTGCAGTGTGTGTGTGTGTGTGTGTGTGTGTGTGTGTGTGTGTGTGTGTGTGCGGGAATAATGAAGGCCAGATGAAAATGACTGCAATGTCCTGTAGAGAGGGGAAGGAATGGAGAGATGTGTGGGGGCCTGCCTGTCAGTTAGCAGTGAGTGTCCACATGATACAAATAACTAAAAATAACTCTAGTACTGAGGATGCCATTTGGTAGGCAGACATACTTTAGAGTACTCTTCTCCATCGGGCTGCAGAGGACAGAGAGGATGTAGGGATTGTGTTTTTCTCTCTCTTTCTCTCTATGGTGAGTTTATTAAGGCCTTGCCGAATGGATGACTGTCTGGCGCATGGCTGGTGGATGTTGGTGGTTTGCAGGGCAGGGATTGCATTATGCCGGAGTGTTAAAGGGATAAAAAATAGTCTGGGGCACCAAAGTCACCGGCTGGAGCGCTCAGATCCCCAGACAAACCCTAGATAGACAAAGTTGAGATAGATTTTTTCATATGGCCAGCGGTACAGCCAGAAAAAGCAGGGGTACACAGAAACAAAGTCTAGATAGATAAACCCTAGACAGATTTCACAATTTGTCCAGGAGTACAACAGGGTACAGCGAGATGAAACCCTGATTTTACATGCTGTTATTTGATAAAGCTGTGTCCAAAATGCCCTATGGGCCCTTGTTAAAAGTAGTGGACTACATAGGGCAACGGATGCTATTTGGGATGCAGTCATACATTAGCATTCATGTCTACCCACTGGGCACACCAAATCATTTCCACGTAGATAATTGGGTAATATTTGGTTGAGACGTTGATCAATGAGATAACAACCTATATTCACCCACTCAAAAAGAGAGCCAAAAGTTAGTTGAATTTTGTATGTTTTATCACTATGCTTTCAACCATCTAAAAGCACAACCAAATTCCAGTGGAAAAACAATGTCAGATTTTTTGTTTAGTTATCACCCAAATACCTATCACTGCGCTTTCAACCATTTAAAAGCCCAGCAAAGTTCAAATGACAATACAATGTCAGATACTTTGTTTATTTATACAACTGATTAATGTGTTATCACTGTGCTTCATCTAATAGCAGAACCAAATAACCTGGATTGCGGTTGAGATTAGTACATGATGCAAGTCGTCAATGCCGTTCGAGATTCTGCACAGACTATTGCAGCAATCGTGAATATCTCCACAGATAGTTCCATCTGTGCCACTAACTTACTCTGGCTTTAATTATTCCAGTTTGTCTACAAATTGATAATTGATATGTTGGATTCACGTCTCCATCTCAACCAAAAATCTAATTTAAAGAATAGGACTAAATCAAATCAAACTTTAAATGTACTGTTGATTTGATTTAGTCCTATTCTTTAACTTAGATGTTTGGTTGAGATGGAGACTTGAATCCAACATATCAATAATTAATTTGTAGACAAACTGTAATTAAAGCCAAACTAAGTCAGTGGCACAGAAGGAACTATCCAGCAGAATATACATATCCTTCAAATATTGATGTTTGTTTGCGTTGACAGTTATTATTGTCTATTATTATATATATATATATATATTTTTACGTCTGCGTTGAATTGAAACAATATCTGTTGATAACTTGCAAATACTATATAGACCTAAATAGCATCATTGATATATGAGTGATCAAGTATGGTCACATTTAATTTGTTCTGTTAAACCTACCATATGGAATGACTTCGATATCAACAGTGAATCTATTCTAGTTTTTAAGTGGAGATCGCTCAACAATCATTCTCACGGTAACACATTGGTAATACTCAGTGACAAATATCATAGCTAAGCAGGGCTGTACAAGCTGTATCAAAATTAATTGGGATGGAGAGGCTCATCGCCACTTACAACCGTTCTGTGAGAGCTTTGCAAGGTTGTATGGAAAACAGCATTGCACACCAAATATGCACCTCCATTGCCACTTGAGGGAAATGTGTTTTGGACTATGGTCCAGGATAGGGTTTCTGGTGCTTTCCGTTTGAGCGAGCAAATGGTTTCATAGGTAAACAACAACAACAAAATCACAGCATCTCTGTTCAGTTAATGAGAAAGGTTTTAACTGCCCGAGAGGTAAAGAGCATGGTTTGGCCAACTGACTGATGATATGAGACATTTGTTTGCAGGGGGGTCATGAGAGAGATTACAGACATGTAGGTCCTGATGGTACCAAGTACTTGATCAGAGTGAAAATAAGGATCTGACCAGTTTTGAATTTGTGTTCAGAAAGTATTTGTCTGCCCCCTAAACAGCTGTTTTTATTTTATTTTATAGCAAGTGAAGATAGGAAGGATCTGTAGAGTGTCTTCAAATGAATATATCCAAACAAGGAGATCACCATTGTACAGCTGACAGAACAACATGATAAGGTAGACATGCTTGGAGAGGTTATAAGCACCGATCAGAGTAGAAGCTTTCGTTCATCATGTGTACTGGCAAAGTAGTTTGCCACTGACAGACAGATGGACTTACCACACATTCAACCAGATGCAGAGCTAACACCAGGCATAGTAACACAGTTGTTCTCTTGCGATGTGCTTGTTGGTCCAGCACATGAATACACATGCATTTTTCATGTCATAGCTCGTGTAAATTGTTTCCAGAAACACCCAAATCAATATCATTTCAAGCCCCCTGTAGAGATTTGGGGCAAGGCATTGGAATCTGTATCAGAGGCACAGTTTATTCCAGTTCAAAGGTTTATGGAGTGCAATGCATATTGCCGGTATAACGTGCAGTTTGCAAGGATTACAGAGACAGTAACTGTGGTAGTACCAGTGTCAAGCAGGGCTGCCTTTTAGGCATTAGGCTACTTGGAGGTGAAATTATAAGAAATCAAAGGGCCTTGGAGGTTTGAGAGTAAACCAACTGTTTATTTCTTAAATGTTAGCAGTAAAAAACGCCTGATTATTCATCGTTGTTTGTGTATATTTTATAAAGTCTATTTGTATCCGTTTTTTGATATGGAACTTTGCATTGTACTGTGAAACTTCTTGAGGTGTTTACAGTAAATACAATTTGACAGTCTGCCTTTTTAGCTTGGCCTAATAAAGCCAACTTTATTGTTATTTTTGACATCCTTTGTTTTATGTTCTTTGATTCATGTCTTTTATTGGCTTTTGTTAGCTTTTTATCTTTCATTTTATCGTTTTACTTTTAAGTGTGACAATAAACTTGGGGGAAAAAATTATGTTTGAGTTGAAGTTTGATTTTACATTGGATCTTGAAATGATTAAATGACAATGGTTGTATGAATATAGATTCCAATACCTTAATAGTCTATCTTTCATATTAAGACGTTTTTAAAATATATGAACTAATTCGAAAGGCTACTATGCACAGGTTTGGAGAAGATGGCTGCTGAACTGATCAGGACGAATGAGGACAATGGCCAAGGTGTTAAGAGTTATTAGCATGTCAGAAGATCCATGTCCTTCCAGAGCTGATTACTCAGACTGGTGAAATTCACAGAAATTCCAAACTCATGACTGTTGACATCTGTTTGCATTGTTACTTGTCAAAACTTGGCTTTTACTTGTCATGATTAAAGACATTTGGACACACATCTAATCACTCGGAAACAGGCTATTTTACGCAGTGTGGGCTGGGTTACAATCCTGGATGGGAGACCAAAGGGTAGCTGTAGATATATAAATTATCCAGTAGGAGATGCTGCCCAGCCTATTGTTATTTTTTTTCTGAAGTGGATATATTGTAGAAGATCTGAAGTTGTTTTAAAAGGTACAAATTCAATATATTTTATACAAGGTTTGTCTATGTTGAAATTTGGTTACCATGATGACATAATCCTGTGGTTTAAATTTCACCCTCAATACAACAGTTGATTACTTTTTTCAAATCCAAGGTATTTTCCACATAAATTCCACATCACAATACGTTGACAAATTACGTTGAAACAATGTTGATTCAACCAGTTTGTGCCCAGTGGGTAGTTGTTGGGATGTGTGATTATCTCAACTGATTAGTTTGTTGTCTTTTGTCTGTATGTGCCTTGGAGTGTTTGTAGTTGACCATGATGATTTAAATGCTGTCAGATTTGCCAGCTGTGTTGCTCAGCAGGAAACAAACACATGTTGGTATCAACTGTCTTGCTAGGAAGCTCATGGCTAGATTGATCTAAGAGTTAGCTTCTGAAAACGTGCTGATGGGGAGTTGGAGTAGTTCAAGATGTGTGTGTAGGGGGGAGCGCTCTCTCTCTCTTAGGGAAGTAGGGGAGGTGGTCTGAGAAAAGGGGGTTGGCTCATCAGTTCCAGGCCTCATATTTGCAATTAGCGAGGAGGGTACGTTTTTTGATAAAATCTCAGCCCTGATTCTTTGCTCAAGAGGACTTAATCACTGTTTTATGTGGGTGTGTTTGATTGTCTGATAATCACAGTTTTTCGGCTATGCTTCCCTAATCAAATCCTTATAGCACTCTCTCGACGATTGATTTGTAACAGTCACAGTCTTGGGCACCTTGGTGATGATGGAGCACGCAGCTAATGACCATGCATTGGGAGATTACGATGGGCACGTGATAAAGATGTGTCGTCCGTCGTTGATGCACATCAACTGTGATCCGCCCTAATGGCTGTCCTCTATTTTGACTTCAGCTGCTGCTGGGGAAATAAAATGAAACCCAGGCCGCTCAGCAGACGGTAATCTCGTCTCCCAGCGGTATAGTTGACTTCTTGATGTACAGTAAAAAGATTATTAGAAGGCTGGGATTGGGAATCAGTCATTACACTAATTTAATGGCTTTGGTTCGGTTGGCTATACTCACAGATGCAATTTAGATTTCTTACTTTTTAGTTTTGCGGTTTAATGATACAAAAATAATGAAAACACTGGCAGATCCACTAAGAAAATATCAAGATTCGGCTGTAACTACTGTTCGCTCTGTGGCTCACAATCAGTGGAGTGTAGGCGTAAATTGTAAATCAGATGTGTCTGTGTGGCACTAACGTGATTAGCTTTGCTGAAATCAAAGGTCAGTCAGACTAACAGATACACAACAAGGAAAATACCAATGAAGTGTTTGTAGAAATGTGGTTTTCAACTTGTGCTTAATGTAATAGTTTTTTAATTGTTGTTCACAGTCACACTTTTGGAGCTGATTTTCAGAGCTAGGCTATCACTTTGGCAGCGGTCTAGGCTACACTTGCAAAATATACTGAACAAAAATATAAACGCAACATGCAACAATTTAAACAATTTTACTGAGTTACAGTTCATATACGGAAATCAGTCAATTGAAATAAATAAATTAGGCCCTAATCTATGGATTTCACATGACTGGGCAGGGGCACAGCCATGGGTGGGCCTGGGAGGGCATAGGTCCACCCACTTGAGAGCCAGGCCCACCCACTTGGGAGCCAGGCCCAGCTAATCAGAAATACGTTTTTCCCCACAAAAGAGCTTTATTACAGACATAAATACTCCTCAGTTTCATCAGCTGTCCGGGTGACTGGTCTCAGACGCTCCCGCAGGTGAAGAAGCCGGATGTGGAGGTCCTAGGCTGGCATGGTTACACGTGGTCTGCGGTTGTGAGGCAGGTTGGCCTCACTGCCAAATTCTCTAAAACGACGTTGGAGGCAGCTTATGGTAGAGAAATGAGCATTCATTTCTCTGGCAACAGCTCTGGTGGACATTCCTGCAGTCAGCATGCCAATTGCACGGTCCCTCAAAACTTGAGACATCTGTGGCATTGTGTTGTGTGACAAAACTGCACATTTTAGAGTGGCCTTTTATTGTCCCCAGCACAAGGTGCACCTGTGTAATGATCATGCTGTTTAATCACCTTCTTGATATGCCACACCTGTCAGGTGGATGGATTATCTTGGCAAAGGAGAAATGCACAACATTTTAGAGAAATAAGCTTTTTGTGCGTATGGAAAATGTCAGCTCCTGAAACATGGGACCAATACTTTACATGTTGCATTTATAGTTTTGTTCAGTATATACAGTGGGGAGAACAAGTATTTGATACACTGCCGATTTTGCAGGTTTTCCTATTTACAAAGCATGTAGAGGTCTGTAATTTTTATCATAGGTACACTTCTACTGTGAGAGACGGAATCTAAAACAAAAATCCAGAAAATCACATTGTATGATTTTTAAGTAATTAATTTGCATTTTATTGCATGACATAAGTATTTGATACATCAGAAAAGCAGAACTTAATATTTGGTACAGAAACCTTTGTCTGCAATTACAGAGATCATACGTTTCCTGTAGGTCTTGACCAGGTTTGCACACACTGCAGCAGGGATTTTGGCCCACTCCTCCATACAGACCTTCTCCAGATCCTTCAGGTTTCGGGGCTGTCGCTGGGCAATACGGACTTTCAGCTCCCTCCAAAGATTTTCTATTGGGTTCAGGTCTGGAGACTGGCTAGGCCACTCCAGGACCTTGAGATGCTTCTTATGGAGCCAGCCTTAGTTGCCCTGGCTGTGTGTTTCGGGTCGTTGTCATGCTGGAAGACCCAGCCACGACACATCTTCAATGCTCTTACTGAGGGAAGGAGGTTGTTGGCCAAGATCTTGCGATACATGGCCCCATCCATCCTCCCCTCAATACGGCGCAGTCGTCCTGTCCCCTTTGCAGAAAAGCATCCCCAAAGAATGATATTTCCACCTCCATGCTTCACGGTTGGGATGGTGTTCTTGGGGTTGTACTCATCCTTCTTCTTCCTCCAAACACGGCGAGTGGAGTTTAGACCAAAAAGCTCTACTTTTGTCTCATCAGACCACAAGACCGTCTCCCATTCCTCCTCTGGATCATCCAGATGGTCACTGACAAACTTCAGACGGGCCTGGACATGCGCTGGCTTGAGCAGGGGGACCTTGCGTGCGCTGCAGGATTTTAATCCATGACGGCGTAGTGTGTTACTAATGGTTTTCTTTGAGACTGTGGTCCCAGCTCTCTTCAGGTCATTGACCAGGTCCTGCCGTGTAGTTCTGGGCTGATCCCTCATCTTCCTCATGATCATTGATGCCCCACGAGGTGAGATCTTGCATGGAGCCCCAGACCAAGGGTGATTGACCGTCATCTTGAACTTCTTCCATTTTCTAATAATTGCGCCAACAGTTGTTGCCTTCTCACCAAGCTGCTTGCCTATTGTCCTGTAGCCCATCCCAGCCTTGTGCAGGTCTACAATTTTATCCCTGATGTCCTTACACAGCTCTCTGGTCTTGGCCATTGTGGAGAGGTTGGAGTCTGTTTGATTGAGTGTGTGGACAGGTGTCTTTTATTCAGGTAATGAGGTCAAACAGGTGCAGTTAATACAGGTAATGAGTGGAGAACAGGAGGGCTTCTTAAAGAAAAACTAACAGGTCTGTGAGAGCATGAACCTGCAATAGAGCATGCTGGGAAATATGACAATAATGGGCATGGTTTTGAGTGTTTTACTCTACACAGTAAAAATGACACTATCACACTCAACTCTGGGGTTCTTTTACACCACTGAGTTTTAATTTAACTCCTTAATCAACACTAGAAATGTTACACTGAAAAATGAAGACTAGGTTAAACTGGCCAATTTGCTGTGTACCATACTAAGGCCTTGTT